CAATTTTCAATAAACTTACAACAAAAAATTACACAGTGACATTTACAGTGAGAACGCTACAATAAATTTTACGCCAGATGATTCTATTGGTCGTCTGTTGGGTTTCGGTCCAAGACCTATCTCCCCAAAATCAACACCGGTGTCGGACTACAACTACAAATTGTTGATTGAGACGGAAAATTGGTTAATTTTCGTGGAAAAATAATAACAATTCGTTTGCATGTGAAATCTATCAAGTAATCAGTATTGTTTATAAAACGATTGTCAAAAGAAGTCATAAAACCGACTTTTTATGCAAAAATATTGTCAGTCAACGACGAAATCTCAAACGACTAAGTCGTCAGAATATTGTGTTTTTGAAAAGCTTGGGCCTGAAGCCATGTATACAAAAAAGTTCACGTAGAATTGTGCTGTTTTGCATGTTTAATACTATGGCTGTGGAAGAGGAAACATAAGCTATCAACAGAGAAGTTGTTTTTGATGAGTCTATGTCACATTGTGAATTACATGCACATCAAGCTTATGCATCAGCTCTACTCAACAACAACGATGAAATTCGGATTGATTTGTGGAGTGGACACAGTTCTAAAGCTGTCACGTCTGCCAAACCACTAGATGAAGAAATTGAGATAATGATTATTTCTGAAGGGGCTCCTGAATATATTCAACCATTGGATATTTTTGAGTTCAGAATAAGGAAAAACTTTGGAAGAAATTTTTTAGACTTTCAAGAGATTTCAAATTTACACTTGAGAAATAGTATTATTCAATTACTATCACTGACTTATAATCAATTCTCGTCTCTGCAATACATTTATCTTCCGTTATTCATGGTTCAAAAATAGTTATACATTTATTGAACTAGATGAATTTAAAAATTCAGTCGATTTCGCATTTACAGTTAACTGTAAGTCTCATTGTAAAATCCCAGGATGTAAAAATATTGTAATTATCCGTTGTGCGTGGTATAAAGGATCACTGTATCTTGAAAATTTCTTACTATGAATATCATGTCTGTAATACGTACAATAAAATAATTTATCTCCTTCATTTTGATACAAATCTGGGAAAAAAGGGAATATTTTCTTTGGCATCGATTTTCATATCATTCAAAGCATTGCAAAGACACGTATCTTGTAGTTTTTTATGCTCATCTTTATAGGGCGTCACCTTTCGGATTAATTTTTACCCTTTTAAAACGTTTTTCTACCGAAAAAAATACGTGGTTCACCATTTGCGACGTAGATTGTTATACAAAAACCTTAGCTAAAACGACAGTGACCACCTCGCAAGGTTTCCTTGTTAGAAGTCCACGGCTTCCCAGATCACGGGGAAAGTATAGGCGTTGAACAGAAGATAGTGGCTGATGTCTTTGGTGTAATGTTATCACTTTCCTCGTGATAATGTCCAGATCTGTAAGCTCTTTTTGAAGCCATCCAAGAACTCTGACTGAGTGTAGCAAGACTGGGACAGCAAGCATATCCGTGGCTGCGACTTCTTAGAGCCTGACAATTCAGAGCCCCCACAACCTCTAAGGCTCTCTCACGCTTTACAGCGTACACTTTTAGGTTATTCATACAAAATATATGTGTGACTTTGTGTACGCGGTTGGAGAATCGTCCGGCTGTATATCCAGGCGCTCGGCGTAGAGTGACAAATAATGGCAGCAGTAAGATGCAAAATAGGAGAAGACTTAGGGTATCTCCCTGGAATACAACTCGCCTAAATGGCCGTATCCTCCAGAGTGGCATCAGACGTTCGATGTATCTCACTATTTGTGGGGGCACTGAAAGACATTCGAGCGGGTGAAAGAGAAACTCGTGTGATGTTGTATCAAATGCCTTTTGGTAATCCATCCAGGCCATTGACAAGTCGCGCTTGTAGTCGTATGCATCCATCGTAACACACTGGTCTACTAACAAGTTTTTCTTAGAGTAAGGCAGCTCAACAATTTTCGGGGATCAGCACAGTGCGCCCTTTAACGAGCCATCCAGGAATGAACGTATCTCCTCCTAGATATTCTGAAAAGATCCAAGCCCGATGATGGTGAGATGTTGTCATTTTCTCCTACCAGAAGGTGAAGATTGCATGTGGCCCAGGGGCAGTCTAGCTCTTAGTTTCCCTAGAGCATTCCTGATCTTATCGATACTGACTCGGTGAAACTCTTCTGAAATTCGTCATGGATGTTCACCACAGAATTCTCTAAAAAATTGTGAGCCACATTATAGACTGTACTCAGTGCAAAAAAGTCTACACCATCTGATACCCAATAGTTGAGGTCCTCGTTAGCGCTAACTAGATGTTCTGCAGAGGGCGTTATTTTTCGGAGAACGTTACTCCTTCTGTTTATGAAGTCCTGTAGATTGGCGCTCTGAGAAGGGGGAGATAGGGCTTCTGCAGTGAGAGGAGGGTAGAACGGAAGTATGCTCCACCTCGGTGCGGCTGTCTCGGGTGTGAGTGAGACTTCGTTTTCAGTCTCTGAAGCGTCTGATATTAAAGAGTCAGAGACTGACTCCTCTTCTATTTGCTGTCGAGACTGAGTATACCGCACTTGCGATGAGAGCGTCGGCTGTTGTAACTCTGGGTGCATTTTGCACTATAGAGTATGCAGGCGCCTGCCGGCCCCCGTGTTTACATAGATGTTTCTGTCCTTTACGATATGTCGCGTAACGTGGAGGCAGATTATAGTTCGTCGTACATTTAGGACTAAGTATAACTGGTCAATTAAGGTCGGACTCGTAGTGGTATGTCGTAAGGCCTCGGGCTTGTTACGTGTATCTCTGTGCCTGTTTTAAGGTGCAGCTATACGCGTCCCAGGAAACGCAATCGCGAAGAGAGTAGAGTTATAATTTTCCAGAGTTATGCCCTAGTAGGCGAGGTACTTAATTTCCGTCCTTCAGACGGGGGAAGCAAGGACTTTTCCAATACTGCATCAAATCCCGTTTTAGCTCCTCTATCCACCTGAAACGCTGAAAGGGTGATCCGGGGTCTAAATTACTATTGAAACATATCGTAAGGCCCCTGTTAAAATCGCTTGCTGGGGGGATGAATAGCGACATACAAATATTCTACGATATATTAAAAACAGTAAATAATGGTAATTATTTCCGAGATGATATTTTTGAAGATGATGGTAATGAACTATGTGACAATGAATGTATTGACATTTTCCAACAAGGTGGTGGTGAAAAAGTGAATCACAAAAAAATATGATGAAAACATCAAATGCAAAATAGAGGCAGCTTGAAATGCATATTTCAAATTGTTACAAAACTGGAAAGACTCCGTTGAAAATATTTCTTAGTGGATCAACTGATGTCGGTAAGAGTACCGTTTTTAATACTTTCTATCAATTAATTACGAGTTATATCGACAAATTACCATGTAGAGGTAATGATCAAATAGTAGTATTGTAATGTGCTCCATCTGGTAAAGCTGCATTTCTGATTAGCGGTGCACTCTGCATTTTCATTGCCATGTAGTCAGTATGGTGTAAATTTACCGAGATTATCTAATAATACTGCGAATAAATTGTAATATCATTTAGATTACGTTAAACTTGTAATTATTGATGACATTTTCATGGTAATATCTAATATATTTGGTTATGTTGATACAAGATTATGATAAACAAAAGGAATCAATGAACCGTTCGGTAGTGTATCGATACTTGCCGTCGGGGACTTAAATCAATTTTTTCCAATTCAAATGACATACAGTGTGGCGTTTACAAAACATGTTTTAGCTATCATAAACCAATCTACGTTATTTTTGATAGTTTAATCAGTAACGATTGTAAAATAGATACTGATAGTAATGACAGAAATAATAACGTTAAAAATTTACAAAAATTGAGTTATGTCTGGCTATCGGTAATTCGAGAATATTTATAGCATGGAATTCAATGGTCATAAATAAAACGAGTTTGTTTTTATTTATACTAATCGGATTGTAACTTTTTTCAGTAAAAAAAATCAAGTATGCATGGAAGAACTAAAATATATTAGATCGATTTCTTTTTCCGTTGATTATGACAAATTTCATTGTCATAAACTATTTACATGAACAAAAAGTAGTCTATAACCTTCTCAGCAACTCCCTCTACATGCGTGCTAAGTTAGTTCGTAATCGGATGAGCTGTTTCGGCGATTACGACGAATAGTCAGAGAGACAAATACTAGAAATTTAGATGGTAATGTAGATTTTAATTTATACTTCTATATAAATTTCTAGTATCCGTCTGACTGTCTGACGACTCTTACATATCACAATTGAATATGTTACAAACATTCAAAAAATCGGATCTATGCACTATATTTGCGTTCTTTTGATGTGTAATTTTTTCCTGTACTACCAGAAAGTTACTGACCATGTAAATCAAATGAAAATCTACCCAATTTTTTTATAACAATTGCATTCCTTAAAAACAATTTAAAAAAAGGGATCTGTGCAATTAACTCATATTCTTCCAACACGACTTTTTTTTCTTCAACTGGAAAAAGTTAATGATTATGTAATAGGAATGGAAACCTTCTCCTTTTGTTGATTACAAAGAAATTCAATATATACACTAAAGAACAAGAGAGACATCATAAATACAGGTTCTACCAGTGGAATGTTTTTCTTATTAACAAAGCAAAATTACTGACTATGTAACATTAATAAAAGCGTTCTTTTGTTTATAACAATCGAATCGTTGTAAATAAGCAGTAATTGAATCTCACGCTGCAATTCGAATCTTCTCCTTTTATTATTAGTACTTATAAATTTTTTTTATTTTTCTTTTTATACTATTAGACAGCAATAGGTATCTATGAATAGCTCATTTGAAATACGAAGTGACCATTGAATTTTTTTTTATTAATCTATTATAATACAATGCAATTATGCACTTTACGCAAACGAAGTCGCGGAAATCAGCTAGTCATATTCTAAGGAAAGACTTTAATACACATTTAACAGTTCTTTATATCTATTAAATAATTATTCTATGATTATAGGAGCTCAACGATCGTTTAGATCCTGTAGAAGTTTTTCGGGGAATTCCTTATGCGGCTCCTCCAGTAGGAAATTTGAGATTACGAGAACCAGCTTCTCCACTATCTTGGTCCGGAGTGAAACTCGCAGATACGTTCGGATTTGTTTGTCCCCAAATATTTCCAGATGTTTCCAATTTTAGTTCTGCAATGAATGCAATGCCAACTGGACGATATCAACTGCTGCAGCAAATGGCAGCTTATTTAAAAAACCAAAGCGAGGACTGTCTAACATTAAATTTATACATACCCGGCAGTGGTAAGATATTAAACATATTTGTAATTATTTTAATTAGTAACTTCAAATATAAAAATATTCCTGTAAGCTAATACTCATAATAAGATTAGATATTCATAGTCCAATATCTATGATTTTTAGTATTTTCTGAGTAAAAGAAATACCGCATAATCTGTAAAAGATCAATGAAAAAACATTTAGAAAAATTATCACCATTAAAAAATAGTTTTTACTATTATTTAATAACTTTTGAGTACACAGTGATGAAAAATTAAGCTGAAAGAAGGTACAAAAATGCTGGTTCCATTATAATTGTGGATAAATTTTAGACATTGATTTAGTTAAAATTACATTTTAGCAGTAAATAAACGTTATTTCTTGAGTCGAATACTGTGAACACTCGTAACTTACCGACGACTAATGATAAAGTTATTTTCCGTTAATCACGAAATAAAATTAAAAAATACAGGAATTATTTTCTTCATAAGAACTACATGAACCTTGCAATTCTAAACTTTTCTATTCGAATTTAGTTGCAAGTCTGAACAAAAATGTTTGCTTTTTGGTGTCTTTTTCTATATGGAATAATTCAAAATGATACACCTTCCAGTGTAGGTAGAGTCAATCTATTTTTATTACATGGAACTGTACTTTTAGGAATAATTTTTTTCAACATTGACTTTTTTTTTGTCAACTGCATATTAGCTAGTAGTAATCATTTTTTAAGTATCAGCTTCTGACTACTCTGAAAATGTCAAACTTTAGGATAATGTAAAGCAGAATATTTTAGAGGGACGATGGTATGTGGTAGTACACATGTGCAGATCCTGTAACACTATACTATTATTGTGTTATAATTTTCTAGGATACTAAACAAAAACAAGTAATGAAACAGTAACTACTGTATGGTAGTTAGTGTTTAAAGTAATTGCAATATCGCTGAAATAGATTCTTATGAATTATTATTGTACTTTTTTTTTCTATTATTATAACTTTATCTTCTAGAGAAGTTAATAGATCAGATATTAATGCTACATAGTGTGACGATACTTTTTCACGGGGGTAGGTGTACTAAGTATGCACTTTCCTCCAGGACACTATTTTACTAAGTAATATTCCTGAATTGCTTATGAAAACGATTAACAACAGGTGCCAAGTTATTTTCAATCGCCAGAATCACTAATCTGGCTAAACTCACATCTAAAATCTAAAAATTTCAAAGCTAGACAAAACTTATAACTTATCTCAAATAACCATATACAAAACTAAATATCAGATCAATCCAAAATCATAAATCTATCTCAACTCAGATGCAGCTGGTAAATATGTCCTGACAGAGGATCTCTTGGAGCTCAGTTATGGTGATTGTGGAAATAGGGCTGGGTTTGGCAAAGGAATTCGTTGGTTTCACTCTAGAAAAATTACCAATACAATGAATGAAATGATGGAATAAATGGATCATCGTTATTCTGTAGCAATTCTGCATTTACAATGAAAGAAAGATATTTTACAAGCGAATTACTCACACTGAAGTTCTGGACGTTCTGCAATTTCATCAATCAATTCAATTTCTTTTCATAAAACTTCTTGTATTATCAAATCTCAAATACAATCAAATTTTATCCTCGAAGTGACTTTAAAACCTGAAGCAAAATCATCAACATACCTTCAAACGAAATCTAAACATCTAAATTGAACTTAAGAACTAAACTAAAACATAAGAGTCAACCAGGGGTAGAAGATCAATCATTGTATATTATGAATCTGAAATTTCATTCTACTACTAAAAACCGTATAAAATGGACTCAATACGACTTATAGAAATTGCAGAAAATAGTTAGGTGCTGTGAGAATCTCACCACAAGACAATAAGTGGCGATGCATCGACCTACAGTTGCATGATCATAAGTTGATCAAAATCAATTTGTAGCCGTCAAACGTTAATCCAACTTTTTGTCTAAATGGACGATATGTGATGTTAGAAACTATCACTAATAGTTGGAAAATGAAATTCTTTACCTGTTTAAGACATGCCTTTGTTTGGGTTAGGAAATCTCACCTGATAATTGATTGATTTGGAAAGATGAGTACCACCTTAAGAATGCCCCGGCATGCAGATTCATAATCTCGAAGTGTTAAAATATAAAAAAAATATCAGTGCTCTGCAGTGGTCTAGGTGTGACCCGAAAGGTCTACACGACCAACTTCCCAGTGGAAAAAATGAAAAAACAATTCGAATAAAACCCGTTTCCATTTTTTATAACAAATGGATTATTAATTATATACGAAATGAGTGTGTTTTTATTTATTTGATATGATTAGTTACTATATTTCAGTAAAAGAAAAAATTATGCGTTAGAAGAATTCAAATATACCTCATGGATCCTTTTTTTTTATTATTTACAACGAATTTCATTGTTATACGCGAAAAAAGTATGTTTTCATTTATGTCATACGGTTGGTAATATTTTTTCAGTGATAGAAAAAATTATGCGTTAAAAGTACTCATATATATAGAATAGATCCCTATTTTTATTGTTTATAACATTTTTAAACTTATTATTTGAATATTACCGTGATCAATAATTATTTGTTAGTAACAATGTTTAATTGTTATGGACACAATTCCATATTATTAACAATTATTCTTGACTATTGTAGCGTCTTTAATGCTTTTTTTTCAATCCTGACACGAGTTTAAAATTCTTTCATTGCTGATTTTGTTTTTAAAAATTAATTTTTTTCATGAAATATTGTCATGATATTTTTATACAAGTATTCTAATCATTTAATATTCACATTTTTTAAAAGGTCTTGAGATTTTGTCTAAAAAAAAGTATAATTTATATATTGCAAAATTTATAAGCAACTGGCGAAGGCAGTCAATGTTTTAGAAAAATTGACAAAGTAAGTGATGTTACATGTTAAAAAAATTAAATCATTAAACATGGAAAAAATAATCGTAAATATTCATTAAATGAATTTTCAAAGTCCATAGTAACACTATTACATTAACTTCTTAATGAAAAAACATTCCTCGGATTTGACAATAGTGATCATAGTGACGATAGTTTAAACAAAATTGACTATAATATTATAGTTAGCACAATTGGGATTTGACATATTCACTACTGACCTCGGGTGTCGTAAATAAAAAATAGAATAGGCCGCCATTTAGTTTATTTGTAACTCATGCTCTCTTCATATAAAACTGTCAATTGATCAATATTTACATTCGAATTCTTAAGAAATTGATGTCTCGACTGGTGTCACACCTGCTAAAAATATTTTTTATATACAAGCAGAGCTTATGGTAGTCGAGCTAGTGATCAAACAATATTTAAATAAAGTGAATTGATATCATTGCCAGAATCTGGAGATGCTCTTATGGTAGAAGAAGGTTCTAAAATTGATGAAATTTGTCAAGTCTGTCGATGGAAACTTTACCAATCACTATTTTCGCAAGATAAAAAACAACTGTTAGAGAGTATATCAGCGGCGAAAATCGCTTGAGAACATGTACATGTGAAGACGTCTAATCAGTGAATTAAAACATTTCAAATTCTTGGTTAGACGTTGCCTGTCAATCTCATACCGCTTGTTGAGGATGTTTTAACTGCAATACGTACAATCGTGAATCTTAATGCTCCTACATAAAAAGATAACAAGTTTTTAGTACAATTAGACAACAGTGAATCATGTAGTTCTTTTTCAATATTATTTCTCATCAATTTCTCTAAAATATAAATTGTAAAGTAACTAAAACTAATTTTTTTGTAAGTTGATAACATTGATTATCAGTATTATCTATGTATATTACAAACATCGTCATTATTGATGTCACTACTATCACACTTTTTAACAAAATGACTATCATCACTTTTTAACTTCCCAGTGGGAAAATATAGTAATGGGTTCGATTTTGCGAATCCTGAATTTTAATATATCTCCACGTTTTTAGATCCCTAGAGTCAAATATGATCGTTTCCCAGTGTACGTCTGTGTGTGTATATGTACGTACGTTCATTAGAAATTTTCCTGGTCGATTATCTTGAAAACAAAAAATGTTACCGACGTGGGACTAATTGCATTTAACGCGTAATTACGTAACTCAAAACTGATTAGATTTTCAGCGAAATTGGTCGAGCCATTTTTTTTTGCAAAACCAAAAACTAGCAAACATGGAAAACATTCTAAACTTTGCAAATATATACATTATACTTTTTTTTAGACAAAATCTCAAGACCTTTTAAAAAATGTGAATATTAAATGATTAGAATACTTGTATAAAAATATCATGACAATATTTCATAAAAAAAATAAATTTTAAAAAACAAAATCAGCAATGGAAGAATTTTAAACTCTTGTCAGAATTGAAAAAATAGCATTAAAGACGCTACTATAGTCAAGAATAATTGTTAATAATATGGAATTGTGTCCATAACAATTAAACATTGTTACTAACAAATAATTATTGATCACGGTAATATTTAAGTAAAAAGTTTTAAATTGTTTTAAACAATGAAAAGAGAAATCCATATTGTTCTGACTGTGAGTCGGCTGAGTGAGAAGTCGGGAATTTGTGGACTGTATTTGTTAGGATATTTGGATGATAGAACAATCGGGACTTTTGAACGGTGTAAATGAGTTGGCTGACACTAATTAACAGTAACAGTAACAGTTCACGATTTATTGAACACTAACGTAACAGTAACAGAAAAATGACGATAAGAGAGTCTGTCTGATAATTATGAGATAAATTCACTGAAAAACAAAGTCTTTGAATTGTTTGCAAAATATTGAGTTCACTGAAATTTCACTTAGAGAGGTCACTGATGAGTAGAGGATCGCAGGAAAGTTGTAAGTTTCCCTGTACTGGTCTTTGCACCAGGAGTAGTCTGAATTTCATTGTGTTGGCGTCAGCCACACAGACACAAGAGAGTTGCTCGTGTGTAGATCTCGTGTGTGTGTCTGTCCATGAGGCCGTGAGGCGCCGAAGCTGACATCATTCGCGCCTTTTG